TCCAGGGCAGAGAGTTCCACTGCTGAACAATTCTCACAGTTAGGAAGCTCTTCCTAATGTTCAAGTGGGATCTCCTTTCCTGTAGTTTGAAGCCATTGTTTCACATCCTAGTCTCCAGGACAGCAGAAAACAAGCTTGCTCCCTCCTCACTATGACTTCCCCTCACATATTTATACATGGCCATCATGTCTCCTCTCAGCCTTCCTTTCTTCAGGCTAAACATGCCCAGCTCTTTAAGCCGCTCCTCATAGGGCTTGTTCTCCAGACTCTTGATCATTTTAGTTGCTCTCTTCTGGACACATTCCAGCTTTTCAACATCTCCCTTCAATTGACTTTGCAAAACTACAATTTGGTATCATTGGGGTAAAACAGTTAAAACAGTGTCAAAGTGAACTAATTCTGCAGTCGGGATTTATCCAACAAAGATTATACTCAACACCATATGCTCCCTGGTATTCTTTAAATCCAAGAAGTCTATTTAATGGAAAGCTGCACAGGATCCACAGAACCAACTTAGTTATGCACAAAGCAATACATAGCCATAGTTTAATAAGGAGTCTAGACAAGCAAAGCGCACGTAGTTCTCATACGGCTTTCTTGAACCACCTTGCTTCAAATCACTTAAATACTGAAGCAAACTAGAACATGCATAGCAAGCTGTAGCTCTTTTTTATGGGTCTCATAGTAGCCTCTGTGAATACAGGATTGGAAAGTGAATTAATTATTCACTAAGTCAACACAGCATACAGCCAACAGTTTAGTTTTTTGCTTTCGAGAAGAATGCACAACTGTTGTTGTTGCTGCAGAGCACTGTTATTGATGCCCCCTATTTCAAAACATTCAATTTCCATTCAGTAAATTGAATTTTAAAGCAAGGTTGCGCCCTCCACCTATTTTTGGCCTGCAGAGATCCATAATTTCTAACTTTGACATAACTGTGGTTTCTACATTCCATGGTGGTCCATGCTTTGGTTACATCCAGACATACCTTGGTTACATCCAGACTGGATTACTGCAATGCACTATACGTAGGGCTGTCTTTGAAGACGACCTGGAAACAGCAATAAGTACAAAGATCAGCAGCCAGACTTGACGAGTGCAAGGACAGAGTTAAAATTGCTGGAAGAAACATTAACAATCTTAGATATGCAGATGATACCACTTTGATGGCCAAAAGAAAGGAGGAGCTGAGGAGCCTTCTAATCAAGGTGAAAGAAGAAAGTGCAAAAGCTAGGTTGTAGTTCAACAACAAAAAAATCAAGATAATGGCAACCAGACGGATTGATAACTGGCAAATAGAGGGAGAAAACCTGGAGGCAGTGACAGACTTTGTATTTCTAGGTGCAAAAATTACTGCAGATGCAGACTGCAGCCAGGAAATCAGGAGACGCTTACTTCTTGGGAGGAGAGCAATGATCAGTCTCAATAAAATGGTGAAGAGTAGAGACATCACACTGGCAACCAAGATCCACATAGTTAAAGCAATGGTATTCCCTGCAGTAACCTATGGATGTAAGAGCTGGACCATAAGGAAGGCTGAGTGAAGGAAGATATATGCTTTTGAACTGTGGTGTTGGAGGGAAGTTCTGAGAGTGCTTTGGACCGCAAGAAGATCCAACCAGTCCATACTCCAGGAAATATAGCCCAACTGCTCACTGGAGGGAAGGATATTAGAGGCAAAGATCAAGTACTTTGGCCACATAATGAGAAGACAGAGAAGCTTAGAGAAGCAACGATGCTGGGGAAAATAGAAGGAAAAAAGAATAGGGGCTGACCAGGGGCAAGATGGATGGATGGCATCCTTGAAGTGGCTGGCTTGACCTTGAAGGAGCCTTGGTTTTATTTTGATGTAATATGTTGTTCGGGCTTGGCTCCATGTAAGCCACTCCGAGTCCCCATTGGGGAGATGGTGGCAGGGTATAAATAAAGATGATGATGATGATGATGATGATGATGATGATGATGATGATTAGTGACAGCCAACTGGGAGTTCTGGCGTGGGTTGGTCCATAAGGTCACGAAGAGTCAGAAGCGA